GTTCATGAGGGTGACTATAAGTATTCATGCCCATCAAATCAAGAATAGGTGGTTAAATACTCAAAATGAGAGAAATGACAGATGTTTTCATCTTTGTGTTGCATATAATAATATATTACACTCCATTTTGCAACCTGCATATCTCTATACCATTTCTATTTTATTGTTTAATAAATTGGTGATTATTTTTTCCTTCTATACTTTATAGCTTGTTTTATCTCACTGTCTTCCACATTCTATTTTCTAATGTGAGGTTTTTATTTTTCTGCAAACATTAAAATCTTAGGCAGAATTAGCACTTTACAGAAAGGCATTTTAAGGAGAAAAGGTTCAGATGAGGATTGAGTGATGACTTAAGCCCCTCACATTTATTTGGTACTATACCAAGGCCTTCACATGGACACTTTGTCAAGTTTTACAAAAAAATTACATAGTGTAACTCTGACTAACAAAATAGGAATTTTGATCAATATTTCTCAAGTGGCAAAACTGGAGCATACAGATATTATAATCCTGCTCAGTATTCTGTCTCTTGTATGCCCAAAACAGCACTTAAACCCAGTTGTCACCTGGAATCTGGGGACCAATTCCAAAGCCTGTCCTATACAAAAGCAATACATGAATTCATTTACAAAGTCAGGCTTAACTCAGACCAGCTAAACTAAATTCCTAGGAATTAAAAAATACATAAAACATAGTAGAATTTCATATGTACAAACATCACAAGGCAGGATATTTTCTTACTAAAAACGAACAGAACCTATTTCATCCTATCAAGGATTTGTAAGTGGGGGGAGCAATGACTTGATTAATAAAAGGTATTTTCTTTTTCAATTAATGTACATCTCTAAATTTGCACTTAAGCCAGAAATATGAGTTCTAATTCACCCTTCTCACACATGAAAACTTATTGAAGTTTAGTCCAAGTAATTTTAAAATGCAACAGATTGGAGTTTATCTTGGAAAGATGCTTCCATCTGTGAAAATTTGTTATTGGAAGAAGGAAGAACACTTTAAAATAAATCCACCAGCTGTATTGATAATCTTGTAGTGATTTGAAGGCCTTTTAATATCATAGGACTATTTGTGAAATTAGTTATACCATATGACAGGATAGTTGGCTTGTAAGTTTTTCATTTCTTGATAATGATTTCAAAAATTATAAAATGGTGAGGAATGTCACTAATGTGGTTTGCTCCAATACCAAAGCGTTAAAAATTATTTTACTAAATCACCTATTAAACGAAATCACCTAAATAGCACATGTGATGCTGAAGAACATGCTTTTAAGTACCTCAAGGATTCATAAAAATTTCAAAACCTTCATTATACGAGTAAATTAATGGACTTGGTGAACATTTGATGCTTGTATTTCAGTGCTGATTTAAAAATAAACATTGCAAGTTTTTAAAAAAGTTTTTTAACTTTTTAAAAATTAAAAGTGACAGTACTTACATTTTTTTTAAAAGGAACAATCATCCATTTGGGCTTTGTAGTAAGACCTTCTTTCAACCAAATAAGAAGAAAAACCAACAAGAAAAGTAATCAGCTGTAAACATTAATTGACTGTGTTCCAAACATCTGATATTTATCTTTTGTATTTCTCAATGTGGCTCTTCACACAATAGAACATTCTTGTACGGCCGGGCGCTGGTGGCTCACACCTGTAATCCTAGCTACTCAGGAGGCTGAGATCTGAGCATCGCGGTTCAAAGCCAGCCCCAGCAGAAGAGACCGTGAGACTCCTATCTCAAATAAACCACCAGAAAAACCGGAAGTGGCGCTGTAGCTCAAGTGGTAGAGTGCTTGACTTGAGCTGAAGAGCTGAGGGACAGTGCTCAGGCCCAGGGTTCAAGCCCCATGACCGACCAAAAAAAAAAAGAACGTTCTTGTGACGAATTGAATACTATGAAGAAATCAGTTGAGGTGATGAAAGTATTTTGCTAGAAGGAGACAAGTGTGGTGTGTATAAAGTGCCTGTCTCCATTTAAATGTGATTCTCTCTCTCTTTCTCTCTCTCTCTCTCTCTCTCTGGTTTCTACATGTATTCAATTCTGAGTACCCAGATCTCTAAACACTGGAGTTATCTAGCAGGCCATCAAAGTGATCTGAGAGAGGGAGATGGATTGCTAAGGTGACTTCTCAATCATTGTTCAATGGGGGCTCAGCCCATGTCCAGACAGTTGTGTTTTCTAGTATACATAAGAATTTTCTTTTCTAGGCATGGTTCTGTAATCTCCCTTATACTTCCTCTATTTCAGTTCCCATGCTTAGAATTTTTCTATGATCTGTTTAATAATCTCCTTACGTAACCTCATAATAACTGAGTCCTTCTGTTAAAAACATGACAATCAAGATTCCCCAGGAACTGGGTCAAGCACAATTTTCAAAGATATCTTTTAATCACCTTTATTTTTTTTCTTTTAGAAGTACTGAGGATTGAACTCAGGGCCTCCCATTTTCTCTTTTCTTTATTTCCTTCCTTCCTTCCTTCTTTTCTTCCTTTCTCTTTCTCTCTCTCTCTCTTTCTTTCTTTCTTTCTCTTTTTTTTGTTGGTTGTGGGACCTAAACTCTGGGTCTGAGCACTGTCCCTCAGCTCTTCAGCTCAAGGCTAGCACTCTACCACTTGAGCCACAGCGTGACTTCCAGCTTTTTCTGTTTATGTGGTGCTGAGGAATCGAGCCCAGAGCCTCATGCATGCAAGGCAAGCACTCTACCACTGAGCCACCTTCCCAGCCCCAGAGCCTTCCGTTTTCTAGGCAAGCCATGCTGCCAATTCATTGTTGCTTTTATTATTGTTGAGTTAGGATTTCACCTACAGAAGCCAAAATAAAAATAATAAATGCACTTATTTCACTCTTTTGGGAGGAGTTTTAAATAGAACTGGGGTTTGAATGTAGGACCTTTTGTTGATAGGCAGGTGCTCTACTGATGAGCCACACCTGCACTCTTCTTCACTGGTGATTTTTGAGTGAGAATCTGATTTCCTACTAAGTGGTACACTCATATCCAAGTGAATGCTTGGGTTGTGATCTGTCCATTTGGAGTTTCTTGCTGTCACTAGAATGATAGATATATACCCTGGAGCCCAGCTCTTTCTGTAAGACGCAAACAGAGTCTTATGGATTTTCTGCATAGACCAGCCTGGAACTATGATCCTCCCAATTTCCAACCTCCCCTGTAGCTTGAGATGCAAGGTAAGAGCCACTGCACCCTGCTATTGGTTGAGAATGAACCACGTGAGCATTTCTGCCCAAGCTGGCTTCAAACCACAGCTCCCCTCTTCTCAGCCACCCAAATACCTAGGATTATAGGCATGAGCTATTGGCACCTGGCTCAATTTTATATTGTTTAGTACACTTTATTCATTTTATAAATTGTGTGTTTAGAGCAGTTTTAGAAGTACAGAAAAATTACAGAAGTACCACAGAGAATAAACCATATGTACCTGCCTTATTTTCCCTATTAATCCTACAATTATCAAAAATTGTTACAATTAGTGAAATGAGATTTTTATATCATTCTTACTAAAATCCCTTGTTTATTCAGAATTCCTTAAATTTTCCCCTAAGGTCTTTTATCGTTTCCAAAATTCCATCTTAAGGAATCATAGTATATTTATTAGGCTACTCTTTTTTATTAATAAGTTATTTAATTGTGAAAATACTGTACAGAGGGGTTATAATTACATGAGCAAGGAAATGAGTACATTTCTTATCAAGCATTGTTGCCTCCTCCTTTGTTTCCCCTTACTATCCCTGCCCTCCCATCTTCCCCCATTCCCCCACCAAAGTTTGGAAAGTAGTATGGAGGTTCCTCAAAAGATTCCACATAGAGCTTCCCTATGACCCAGCAATCCCAGTTTTGGACATTTACCTGAATGATCACAAACAAGACCATACTAAAGCTACCAGCACAACTATTAGGCTACTCTTAATTTAACAGTTTCTCATATTTTTCTTGTTTGTTGGGCAGTTTTCAGAAATACAGGTTTCAGTTCTGATTTTTCTTATGATTTGAGGGAAAACAATACTCCCATTTTCAACCTATCACTCATTATTTTTGTAGTAAATAACAGCATAGCCATCTCATTTTTGAAGAAATTAGGTTCTCCTGATCCTTGGGAACAGTAGAGGTTTTGTATGATACTTTATGGTAGTTAAAGGTGGGTAAAGGAATGTGGAAAATGAACTAGTTGAGGTTTCTGAGAGGACTTGCTGTATCTTTGGTCATGAGATGCTATTCAAAGATGCTAATTGACACAGGAAGTCACAGAACAATGTGTCCCTGGGCAAGCCAGATGAAATGAAGGAAAGAGCTCTGGTTCTTCTTAGTTCTATGGATTCTTACCTGAGGTTAGGAGTTCTTAGTGTTTGAAAGGTAGGCTTCAGTCTTGTTCAATTGTACACTCTAACTTAATGTTTGTTAAAGATTAAAAGGAGAACTGAAGGCAAGTTTTTTTTATTTGTTTTACCATTCCTGGGGCTTGAAATCAGGGCCTGGGCACTGTTGCTTAGCTTCTTTTGCTCAAAGTTATCACTCTACCACTTGAGCCACAGCATCACTTTTTCTGTGTATGTGGCACTGAGGAATCCAACCCAGGGCTTCGTGCATGCTAGGAAAGCATTCTACCACTAAGCCACATTCCCAGCCCATGATACTGTTTTCTGGCTTATGAATGGAAACAATTTGTAGATTATGTCTATGAATATATATGTAATATTTGAATTTTCTCAAATGGATAGGTCAATACATTAAATATTGATTAAATATTATCGAGTAAATATGGATTAAATATTAAATAATATATCCTGCTTGAAATATTACTATGTGTCAGGTACTTGGTTAGTTGTGAGATGATGGTTGCTGAAGAAAAACCATTGGGAACTCTTAATATCTTGTTCTGTAATCCAATAGCTTAATAGAAAGAAATTATTGTTATTACTTGATGTTTAATGAGTCTCATTATGTAATTGGCATATTTTATTTTATTTCTGCAGAACTACTATGGAGCTGCTAAGGTGATTTTCTCTGACAATCCACTTGGCCTGACTTGTGGGATGGTATGCCCAACCTCAGATCTTTGTGTTGGAGGATGTAATTTATACGCCACTGAAGAAGGACCAATAAATATCGGGGGGTTGCAGCAGTTTGCTACAGAGGTATGAGAGAGGACACACAGTCCTCCTTTCCCTATCAGAAAAGCATAAGATCTTAAAACAACTTCAGTTAATGGTGTCCTCAAAGATATCTCTTTCCCTTTGTGATTCTTTAGTGTCTGAGAGAGAAAACGGATTCCTATTATTGGTGCTGTGTAGTAAAGTCTTGGATTAAAATGTCAACGTGACCTTGCATTTGTCACTGGCATACACAACGTACGAATGTTTTTTGCCCAGGCAGTATTTTTATTCAGCTAATTGACTATGTAAAATAAAAGTTTAGATGACCATATGACAAATTAGTTGCGATCCCAGCAGGTCATTACAATATGTAGACTTAAAGTGTTTAAATTAGATGATCTGGAAACAGAACTTGATCATTAATTTTGTATTAAAGTGGCAAGGAGACCTTATGTAAAGAGGGCTATCTTCCTTAACTGATTTTCCCTGACACACTATGTGGTCTTTACTTTGAAATAATATGTCAGCATTATTACATAATATTGTTTTAGTAATACAGGTTATTTAGAAAAATAATTAGAATAAAATGAAAGGTTTATTTGTTGCTTTTTTTTTCTGTTGGTATTTATCCCATAAATTTTGGTACTGGCTTTCTCTTTTTATAAATCCATTGTGAATGATTGATTCTCAGGTACTTCCTTATGCTCTCTGGGGTCTGTTATTTGGAGTCAACAGCCAGTCAGTTCTCATGTATCATTTAAATGATCAGCTTATATGGAGTTTGCAGTAAGATTTTATAATCTTAAGGGACTAGTTGGCTAGAAGACTAAATTAAATGCCTGTCTAGGGTGAACTGTTAGTTAATGACTTACCTGTCTGGTTTTGTCACCGTAAACACAATGTGCTTTTTTTTTTTTTTTCCTATAGGACCTTTTCCATAATGTCCCTCAAGCTTAAGTCTCACTTTGATTTTAGCAATAAATCAGAGTTATTCCCTTCCCGCTTTCTGAAAGGTTAATTCTAAGGAAAGACTCCTGGGAATAAGGAAGTACAAACAATTTGAGGTTGTGAGTTGTTGCAATAAATTCTTGGATTTAATTTTGCTTTATACCAAATTCAAAACTATATTAGGCTTACCTAGTGATAGAAAGTATAATCTTTACCATATGGGAAAATCCTTAGTTGATAGAGAAAGGTCACTTGAATGTCTTTTCATCTTCTTTCGGGGACCCATTGTCTTCCCATTGAGCAAGAACAAGGTTGCACAAGACACAGTAAATGAAAAACTATGTCACATGTTTATAACTAGCATAACACTTCTAAATACAATGAGCTAAATGATATTAGTGATCTGAATAGAAGAGTGAACAAGACTTCCTGCGAATGAACTTCTATTACTCCTTCAAAATATAGCCTATCTGAGGCCATATATGAGAGATTTGAATTCACAGAATGTACAGAATTCATTTTAAGTATGATCCTCTTCATGTAGTAACTAATGAAGAGCCTAGATCGGGACTACAGTAAATGAATTTTAGTGTGAATTAAGAAATTTAGAAAAAGAATGGACTTTTCATTTTATTTCATTTGAACTTTATGGATCTGTGATTTCAGTATCTGAAAATATATTTAAAATATCCGCGTGTAAACTACATATAAAATCTTTGTATTATATTTTTGCATTCATCAGTGAGGGTGAATTGTTTCAGCAAGTCCTGTATTTCCGAAGTCAGTATGGGGTTTACTTAAATTTATCCAACATCAACATTGTGAAGCTAGGCACAATCTGAGCAGTAGAGCTATCTAAAAAAACCTGCAGAGGGCAAAATATTATTATTCCTTCAGACCACTAAACTATTGATAGAAGCATTTGAGTCCAAGCACAACATAATGCAAATAGTTCTATGTTTTGATTGATAAAACAATGATTGATTTTTGACCTTTCAAGCAATATAAATCTGTTTCTTCAACTGAATTAAGTAAAGGTTAGGGAAGCAGACTAAAATAGAAAAAAAAAGCCATTTTTTTCCCCAGAATTGTTTTTCCTATAATTTGTAAGTGACTTGTAAAATATCAACTCTGGAGTCTTCCATGACTGGTTAATTGCACAACTCATACTTTGCCATCTAAATCTGAGTATGAGATTTGGAGGGACGGTGGAGGAATTATACAAAGCATAGTCAGAAAGCTAGCTGGTTCTTTCCCTCTTCATTCATTCATTCATTCACTTATTTTGTCTGTATTCTCATAGCTGTTTAAGCTGTGGCTGGTTTTACGTGTTTAGTACAATAAATGTGTCAGTGCCCTCAAACACATTCAACTTTCTGTGCAATAAAAACCTACAAGGAATACTGACTTTGACTTTGGAAAACTCAAGGTTTTAAAAAAATAATAATACTGTAATCCTGAAATAGTATAATCTCAATAAAATAATTTAGAAATGAGTTTGGTATGACTTTTGTCAACCTCATATAGTTTTTAAATTGCTCTGTAGAAATATAACCCTTGAATGTTTAGTTTTGAAAGGAATTTAATTAAATATTTTAAGAAATCATATATTCATTACATTGATTCATTACATATATTCATTACACCTAAATTCTCATTGTCTCAGAAATTGATTAATGAATTATAGGATGAGAAGGGAAGAATGTACTTTTCTGCCCAGTGCCTAAAGCTTGATTTTTAAAGAGAAAATTAGTTGTATGTCAAACCATTTCCCTTTAACTGATATTGGAAAGATACGGCAGCAGTTGAGAAAAATGCTAAAATTAAAATTCTAACCTTGTAAAGTTTGACTGAATGTTTGAATGTGTGTGAGCCAGAAAATTGGTATTTAAAATTACTGACTCAATTCTGAATTTTTAGTAATTCAATTACAAAATCAGTATACAGATGAAGTATTTCACAGTAAATATTCTAAGCCATTTTTTCTATTGTCTATTCAACTGACAGTATGGTATGTATTTCTTGATATTGTACCTTTATCTAGATTTTAAAATTTTAGTTGCGAATGGAACTGACTAATGGAATTTCAGGCTAAATTATGTGATTCACTTAGAAAAGTTGTTCTTCATTTAACTGTAAATATATTTCTTAGCGGGATTCTTTATATTTTTAAGAAAAATTCCTCTTGTTTCTATTTCTTAGAATTCATTTCAATACATAGTATTTTATATAATCAGAGTCACATAAGCCTTGTGACTTTGGTCTCAATTGTGTTTGATACTTGGAGTTCTATATAATTTATCATGGCCCTGGTGTATTTTAGGTCTAGCTTCTGTGTATGAGAGAAAACAAAGCACTGTTAGTGTCTCTGAGCTTGGCCTAATCCAATTCTTTTTCCATGAATTACAGTGACATATCATGTGATTCTTGTGCAAACAGCTATTATCAAAATTGAAAATGATAAAACATGTTCATAAGGATGTAAGGGAGAGAGGATACTTATCTGTTCTTAGTGGGATTGTGAATTCATTCTGTACGAAGTTAAAAATAACTCTGTCATGTGATCTAGAAATCCTACTTCTGGATATAGAAAAAGAGGTGACATCAGAACATCAAAGACAATACGTGGGTGTCCAGACAGAGAAACATCCAGGCAGAAAAAGACAGGGTCTGGTGCATGATCATACACATATATGGTAACTAAAAATGTTGACTTCAAAGTTGACAGTAGTCCAGTATTTACCAGAGTTCTCAGGGAGGAGGGAGCAAGTGATGGAGAGAGACTGTTTACAGATATAGAAGTATAAAAACAAATTAAACAGGATCTGAAAAATAGAAACTAATAAAGGAAAATAGTTGAACTAGCATGATAATATAAAGAAGACAAATACATTTACATTAGTATTCCATCTTTATTAGAACCCATCTTTATTAATTCTTTTACTTTAAAAATTTGATTAAACTGTTTTGGTATTAAAGAAAACCACAGTAGATCCAGATTTTTTTCTTCTTCTTCTTTTTTTTTTTTTTTGGTCGGTTGTGGGGCTTGAACTCTGGGCCTGGGAAACTGTCCCTCAGCTCTTCAGCTCAAGGCGAGCACTCTACCACTTGAGCCACAGTGCCACTTCCGTTTTTCTAGTGGTTTATTGGAGATAAGAGTCTCACAGATGTTCCTGCCCAGGCTGGCTTTGAACCACAATCCTCAGATCTCAGCCTCCTGAGTAGCTAGGATTACAGGCATGTGGCACTGGAACCCAGTTTCAGATATTTTTCTTATAAAAGAACAAAATTCGAATTTAAAGGTAGGAACATTTGGTTCAAGCATAGTGGTTCTGCCTATACTACATTTCTAAATAACTCATGGGTAAAAGACAATTTCACTAGAGAAATTAAACAGTATTTAGCTATTCCTAGGGCTAGATCCTGAATTTCAAGGCCTTGAATGTTGTGAACAAGTCTTCTTCTATTGAAGTATATCCAAGTTCACTGGACTTATTACTAAAATAGTACTGAAAACACTATTATAAATAATTGTCATATATAGAAATGTTATTCAGAGTGACACATGTTTGGGACAGTAAAGCAAGTATGAAATATTATTCTAGTAATTGTTCTCTATTCTATAACTATTTGTAAGTGATCAGGAAAGGGTATAGTCATACACATTGGCTACTACTTATGGTCATGGTGGTTTATTTTAGTTTTAGTTTAGCTGTATGCTTGGATAGGATTTTTGATCAGTCTTCCAAACTGTTCATTCAAGGTACTGAACACATTTCCGAATTTACTTGGATACCAGCTATCAGTCACAAAATCAGATTTTCCATATTGAAGTAAACTATTAGTAGAAGCTTCCTTGACCCTCATTACAAAGGCCATTTTGAGGGCTTATATAGAAATTATCTACTTGGGTAAATGCCCCAAAATGGGACTGCTGGGTCATAGGGGAGGTCTATGTGGAGCCTTTTGAGAAACCTCCATAGTGCTTTCCAAAGTGGTTGAACAAGTTTACACTCCCTTCTGGCCACATCCCCTCCAGCATCTGTTGTTGTTGTTTTAACTGGGGTGAGTAAAAAATTATATTAAGTGAAGTA